CTGTGCCTTCTCAAGTGCGAATTATTTTCTCCACGTGCACGGGGACCTACCATTGCTCTACTAAGTGCTACAGGACAACCATCCCTCCATGTGGTCCATCGGTACCAACTTGCAACGAGTTTCTGCTCCAACCACCGCAGAGTCCAGGCACCCTGCATGGCTCGACATCCACAGGCAGAGATTTGTCCCCTGCCCCTGGATCCCCAAATGTGGAACTCTGGGGCTAATGAATGAATGAGGGAACAATGTCGGGCTTCTACTGTAAGCAGTGTGGTGGTGAGAATCCTCACCCAAGAAGATCCATCTCTTAGCAACCTGGAGCCTTGGACATCTCACTTAAACTCTGTCCTCAGGCTCAGTTTCTATGCCAGCAAAATGGGAATAAACAACACCTGCCTTGCACAGGTACTCTGAGGATTAAACGAGAAAGTATTGTTTCTGCAATGCCAGCAGTTTGTAGCAGTCACCAGGGAGAATTAGACTCCTACCAGACTTGGAGCCTCACAGAATCAAAAGCAGAGATGGGGGCTTCACTTATTCACTCATTCACTCGTTCACGCCTCCTTAGTTTTTCCCAGGAGGAAATGGGAGTTGCCAATTGTGGTAACAGTCACCCTAAGGAACTGAGCACTCTGCTAGAATGATCCACGCCAACAGCCAAGGATAAGACGTGATGAATGGGAATGTCCAGACTCAATGAATAAATAAATTTGCCTGGAGTCACAGAGGTAGTCCAAGGGAGAGACCAGGGCCAGGTAGTCCAAACCTCCCCCAAGCACTCGCACCCACAAACCCCCCAAGGGGCCAGCAGTATGCCGAGTGCCTATATTCTAAGGAGACAGGAGTGAGTCAGATTGCTCGGGTTGAGACTTGGCGCCATCACTTAGCGGCTGTGGGATCTGGGACGCGGCCCTTAACCTCCCGCTTCTCAGTGTCCTCAAGGAGGAGAGAGGATAGGAATAGCAACTGTCTCTCCCGCTTGCTATGAGGAGTAAGTGGGCCAACCTGGGCAACTACATAAATGGTGCCTAACCCAAGTGAGTACTCAATAAATACTGGCCACCAACCTCATCACTCCTTCTTACTGTTCTCCCTTCCATTGTTTCACGAGGACCGAAACCAGTACTAATGTCCTCACAGCCTCTTCCCTTGGGGGCTGGTGCCACATGCCCACAGGACAGACTCACACGGGGACTCAGGAAGCTTTTCCTCCCAGCTGCTTTCTACCAAGCAGGGAAGCAGGCCCCCGCCTGCCTTTCCTTTTAAGATCCATCTCCTACCACTTAGCAGCAGAGCCCCCTTCAGTCTCTCTGCTGGCTCCACCTTCCTGCCACAACTCAAATGCTACAGCCTGGGCAGCAGGGACAGACTGCAGAAGGAAAGGAAAGTCGGGACAGTGAGAGGGGATCAGGAGTTCAGGGCAGGGCGGATGAGGCTGGCAGCTTTTAAAGAGACAGTGTCCACAGCTCTATGTGGACCCAGCATGGCTCAATAGAGCCTTTAGGGCAATTACCCTAATCATGTGCATCTCCCAAACAGCCGTTTGATTTATTAGCACGATGTCTTTTTAAAATGACGCTCTTAAATATAAATAACACTTAATCATCCAGCTGTCGTTAAATTCATGTTGTATTGATTTCTTGGAGTGCCGCAGATTTGAGGGCAAATGGGCTGGCGGATGTGTGTACAAAGCCAAGAGGTAAATTAGCAAGCGGGGGAGGGGAAAGGGGAGGAGGAAGAGGAGGGAGGTGTCCAGGGACGGAAATGAACCTGTGCAACAGCCCAGGGTCCGAACCATTTCACGTTAGGTAGCACCGGACACAAATAAGAAAAGAGGAGAGGCTGGCGCATCTGTTGCACAGACTAATCACAGCCAAGATCATGGTCGTGTTTTCTGTTCTGCTGCCGCCCCATCATGGCCCATCACAGAGCCGCTGCAACAGGTCTCCGATGTGCATTGTGTGCGTGTGCCTTCTCTAGGTGAGGACGGGGAGACGCAGCTAAGAAATGCCCCCTAGCTGGCTAGGAGGAGAGAGATTTGCTGTGATTTCTTTGCATCAAAGCTCGGTGGCGATAGCTGTGAGCCCAAAGCAGTTAAAGCCCAGCCCCCTTGGCCCCCACCCCACTTCAGAACTGCTGCCTCCTGCCCGGAAAGCCCCCACGGAATTCCCAGCAGCCCTCATGGTGATAAAAAAGGCTCCAGAGGCCAAGTGTAGGCAGACTCTGCTCTGCAGGTCTCCCAGTCTGCAGGGCGCAGCAGCACAGGCCAGGGAGAGGCACGAAGAAGGAGAAAGGAAACAAGTTGACTGCCTCTGAGTCCTCCGGAAATGTTCGCAGAGCCTCGGTGGGCATCCAGGATGGAGTCCTGGAAGGACGAAGGAGAGCCCGGGAAGTACATGATTGGGCAAGAAGGGACAGCGTGTGGCGACCCACGCCTAGTGCTCACAGGAGAGCCGCCTGGAGCACAGTCTAGCAGGCAGTGAGGGGCTGGCGAGGAAAAGCATTCATGGCCGAGGGTTTTCTAGTGCGAGTCCCTTCCCGGAGAGGAAGACACCAGGAAAGCCACGGAAGAGCGTAGAGAGGGAGAATGACAGCATGGCATGCTCCAGGGCTGGGCAAGGGAGCCAGGAAAACAGATGATGTACACTCAGCTTTACGCATTTGTTAATTAATGCCCGGCTAGTTCTAGAAACCAGATTGGTACCTAATGCTAAGTGCAGAAAGTGCAGGGAGGTTTAGCTGATAATCAGCATAAGGACTGTTGGCTTTGCATTAAAATGACAAACCCTGAGGCTGCGAATGCATGAGAAAGGAAAGAGAGGAGGGAGGGAAGCATAGAAAGGAGCAGAGGTGCACCGGAAAAATGCAGACATTTCAGGAAGATCAGTACCCCAACCTTTTGCCTCTTCAAGGTCCCAGGAGGGAATGTTTGCCTGGGAGGCACTCACTATTTCTGTCGCAAACCATGTGCTGCTGGATGCATAGGCGGAATCTCCCTGTCTGTCCGTGCCCTCGAAGGGCATGAGTGTGGAAATGTCCCGGTTCTTCCAGCCCAGAAGACCAAGGTGGACCCCATTGTCACACATGGTTGGACAAGCGGACCACATTCAGCCAGACTCTAAGAATGTGCACACACGTGTATGTGTGTGTGCACACGCGCTCATGTCTGGGTAAGTGTATACATGCACTCACCATTCTTAAAAAGAAAACAATGTTTCTTCCCCCTACTGAGTTCTCCCCATTGTGAGAGATTTGCTTTATTCTGACTACCCCTTTCAATCAATCAAAGGGCAGCTCGCACAGCACACATCGGAATACAATCTCCCTCCCGGGGCGTCTGCTCCTCTCCCCAGCCTAGTCAGAGACCTTTGCAGGAACTGAAAAAAGTTTGAAAATAGCAAAGGGGAGGGTGCTGAAAGACCCTTTATTTCCGCACCCATCTTCAGGATTTACAAAAACAACCCAAATACTGTGCCCGGCACTCAGGCCTCCTTGTTTGGAAGAATGTTTGTGCCTCTCCACTCATGTTCCAAAGGCTCCCAAAATATGTTTTCCACTGGTGGGTTTGTGGGACACTCTGAACGCATGATCTTGTACACAGGGCAAAGGCTTATTCCATTTTTAGTCCAAAAGCCACCTCAAAGAGACAGCTATAGCAATATAGGAGCTTGCTATACATGCATATCAATTCCAAAATCATGTTTCATTTGGATCTCACATTCTTCTCCCTACAACGACTGGGGTCCCCAAACGAGTAGCTCTTAGACCCGAAGACCTGAATTACAGAAAAGCCCTTTTGGAACCCCAACCACTCCTACTTCCTCCAGGAAAAGTTTGAACATAGGCAGCCTGTGAAACTCCAGCCAGGGTGAAAAGGAAAGGAAAAGCTTTAAGGGAATAGCACCTTGAGCCAGGGACTTCCGGACAGTGAGGACACTCAGGAGCAGCTGAGCTCTGGGGAACCCTGGCAGACCCAAGAATGCCTTGCCTCCTCACAGGGCGGGCCACTGCCTGCGTGGTCCTGAGAGAGGGGACCGTCCTCTTTTGGAGGGCCACCACCCTCTCACTTCCCCCCTCCGCTAGTTCTTTTTCTCAACGCACACCGGTGAAGGCATGTGACAGGTGTAGACCATGGAGGCACAGAGGGAAACAGCCCCACGTGTGGAGGGCAGGTAGGAAGGTGACAGCAAGATAAAGTCCTGTGTCTCCAAGCGCTGTCTGCTTGCTGTTAAGCTGAGACCAGGGATGCGAATAAGGTCATCTTTTTTAAGGAGGATCTCACCCTCATGCCCTCCCTAGACAAGCAACACACACGCCGCGATGCTGGAGCCCCTTCCTGCCTGAAATCCCGGCGCATTCCGGGCAGGCAGCGCCACGCTTCAGAAAGGCGCCTCTTACTGGGGAAACGCAGCGTCTGTTCCACATGCACCGCCCTGCAGAACTGCAGCCCCATCCGCCTCTGTGCCGCCTCCCCCGCGCTCGGCCACCACGCTCCCCGAATATCTGCCCGAATATCTGTCGGTCTGTCTCGCATTAAATTCCCAGGGTGCCCAAAGGCCACGGAGCAGCGATCACACTGGGCGGGTCTCCGGGGTCCTCCCATGACTTCTCCGGTTTTACAAACCATCAAGGGCTGACAGGGGCTGGGGACTGAAAAATCGCTCCCTCAGCCTACCAGGGCGGGAGGGAGAGCCAAGAATACACAGAAGCCCCCCGGAAAGTCCTGGGGGAGAGAAGTCTGAGTCCCGGAGCGTGAGAGAAGAAAGAACCCCGGGAAATCCCTGCTCCGGCCGCTGCACCCACGCGGGTGTCCAGGTGGGACGTGGGCAGGTGCGCGAGCGCCGTGTGTGCCCGATTGTATTTGTGTGTGTGCGTGTGTGTGTGCAGCGGGCTGGCTCCGGGGCAGCCGAGGACTCCCAGCCCGGCCCGGCCCGGCCATCTCCGCCCGCGCCGCCCGCGCCGCCCGCCCGGCCCCGCGCCCCGGCCGGCCGGCTCCTTACCTGGATGCGCCGCGTTTCCCTCCTTCAGCGGGCGCGCCGCATTGACACTGCAGATGGTGCCTGTGCCGCTGCCTCTCGCCCTCCTCTGAACGTGTGCGTGTGCGCGCGTGTGGCTGCCTCCTCCAGCCCCAGCCCCGAACGCAAATACTCCACGGAGGCACAGGGAAGCCGGGAGCAGCAAAGGAAAGCGGAGGGGGCCCGCTCAGAGCCTCCGGGGCTTGACAGCTCCTCTTGCAGCGTCCAAGGTGGGCGTAATGTCCAACAAAAAGGTCGGAAAATGTGGATCGATCCCAAGCACCTCTTTCCTCCAGCCAGCCCTGGAGCCCAAGCAGCGGCGGCGGCTCTCGGGGGCTGCGGTGGCGACGCGGGGCTGCCCCCCTTCGTCCCCACCCCCGCGGGCTGAATGTCCTTGATGCCAAGCGGGCACGGCGGCGTCACTCCGCGCCGCCCATGCTCGCCGGGTCGGGCCGCTGCCCGGGCGCGGCGAGTGCGCGGGGGACCCGCCGGGGAGCGCTCTCCGCGCCTCTGCGCGCCTCACTGGGCAGCGGCGGCCGCCCCCCGGCAGCCCGCGGCCGGCCGCGCCGCTGCTGCCCCCGCCCCTGCCGGGGGACTCGCCGGGCAGTGCCCAGGGACCGGGGCTGGGGGGCCGCGGGAGCCGCCGGCTGCTCCCCGGGGAGGCGTGGGGCTGCGGCGGTGGTGGCGGCGGCGGCTGACACTGCGGCGGCGGAGAGCGGGGCCGCGGGCCGAGCCGGGCCTCCCGGGCGCGCCCCCGGCCCCCCGGGCGGGCTGCTAGCAAAGTTTGCAGGGGGCAGGGAGCGGGGCCGCCGCTGGCTCGGCCGCCGCCGGAGCTCCCGGGCTGCCTGCTGCCGCCGCGGCTCGCTGCTGCTGTGCATTGAAGCCCGGCCAAGCGCTGCAAAAACTCCAGCTGCCTGGCGCTCTCTGGGTCCTCCTCTCCTCCCTCCCGCCCTCCCTGCTTCCCTTCCTCCCTCCCTCGCCTCGCCTCCTCCCCTCCCCGCCGCCCGCCGCCCGCCGCCGCTCCCTCTCTGGCTCGCTCAGGCTGGCTCGGAGCTCGCGGCTGACATCTAGACCGAGGGAGAGTGGCCGGCAGAGGGGGCAGGGGGCGCCTCCCCACACGCTAGCACCCGCCGCCGCCCGGCTCGCCGGCTCTCCCCAGCACTGACCTTTGCTGACACCCCCTTCGTCCCCTCGGCCCGCACGGAGCCATCCTGGCAGTGGCGATGCGGGGCAGAGAGGGGCGCGTCCGTGGTGACCCGGTGCACCGAGCGCGCACTCGTGGTGACCCGGTGCACCGAGCGCGCACTCGGAGTGAGGCACACTCAGCCGCCTAGGAAGGTGCAGATGTGGGCACTGACCGTCGGAGGCACCCTGGGGTGTTCAGAGCTGACCCAAGTGCACACTGACGCCAAAGCAAACACCCATTGCTAATCAGAACCCCGCTCCAGCACCCCATCAAGGCACCCCCACGGGGCTCCAGAGAAGGCCGAGGACACCTAGAACCGCGGCCTGGGCAAGAGAGCACGGATGGTATGGCTGAGTGCCCCAGAGCTGGCTAGGTAACCTGACTTATCCAGTCATGTTTATATTAAGAGGCTGACCCCGCTGCTCTCTTCTCTGAAACCCTAGATCCTAGACTACATCCAAAACAGACGATGCCAACATCAGGGTGGTGTCTGAAGTCCAAAGAAAGAAACCACGATGCGCTCTGGTTTCTAGCCATCCCGCAGGGAGGAAATGCGTGGAGATGGGACGTGGGCAGCACCACCTCTGAGACCTCTGTGCACATCCCCAGGGGTCGTGCCCACCCACCAAGAGAAACCCAGGGGATTCCCGCACTCAGGCAGCTCTGTGCACACCTCCTTCATCCCACTCCCACCGCAGTCCCAGGGTAGTGGCGGGAGCAGCAGTGTCTGCTAAGCCCCTCCTCTGATGGACAGCCATAGGGGATGACCCTCTAAAGGAGCCCATGGTTCTCCACATCCTCCCTCGTGTCCCTTCTTCAACTTTCCCTGTCCTCACAACCAGCAACTTCCTGCCGGTTACTGTCACTCCCATCCAAACACCTTATTGGGTAGAAATGGTTGACAACAGCATAAATTCCTGTACCTTGCCATGGGGGTTATATTTTCAGAGAAATCAAAGTTGTAAACTGGGGAGACTTTGAAACGAGCTGAGATGACAGTTTATAACAGGACTCAAGGTGGGCAGCATGTGTGGGTGAGGCTGGGCCCACCCAGAGAGGACCCTGCTGAAACCATGCTCTCACCCACGAGGAGACAAACCAAGCCAGAGCAAGGAGCTGACGTTTGATTCCTTGGTTGAAGGATATTCCAGGAGACAGCCTGGAGCCCTTTTAGTCTCCGGGTCTCTGCTGAGTGTTGCATGGCCCAGAAAGCAGCACGGAGTTATCTTATTAAGCTTATGTTAATACATTGATCTGGCTCCTCTTCTCAGAAACCCTGAATCCCAGACTCTAGATAAAGCACACAATATCAGGTTAGTTTCAGAAGTCCAGAGAAATACATAACAAAATCACTCAAAGCCACTGCATTTTGGAGGAAGGGTGGAGGAAGCCCAGGGCCAAATGTCTCTGTCTGCAGGACCAGGACAAGCATGAGGCCAGCCAGGTACCAAGGATGGAAAATCGAAGGCAGCCTCACCCTCAGATTTGCAGAAGGAAGGCTGGCCTCACCTGGTCCTGGCACTGCTTCTAGGTGTGTACTCTAAAAGTGCTACACAGGACCACCACAGGCAATTCCCAGAGGTGACAGCCCAGACAGCCCCACGAAAACCCCTAATGGGTTACTTAAGGAATATGGTTCAATAAAAGCACAGGGAGAATCCTTTCAAATGTATGTTTGCCACTCAGCTTTCAGGGTATGCCGTAAAAATGCTGAAATGGAGGGGGGAGGTGAGAAAACATCTCTGTCTCCATTCTCAGCCAGTCATTCTAGCATGTATTTTTAATACAATCTGATTGTCTTCTTTCCCCATTGGTGTGTGTGTGTGTGTGTGTGTGTGTGTGTGTGTGTGTGTGTGTGTGTGTGTGTGTGAGAGAGAGAGAGAGAGAGAGAATATGGCTGTGAGTTCCAGGCCCATTTCCTGATGGATGGACAGGAAGTCAAAGACCTTTTTTTTTTCAGAGATGGCAAATAAAATGTGTTTATTATTCTTTATCTCCTGCCTAGTGTGTGGTGTCATTTATTTTCATTCAGAGAAATGAATGCCATGTGGTGCCTGAAGAGTAATAACAGAGCCGAATGACAAGGAAGAAGGACAGCAGAAAGCTGGACCAACCGTGGGCAGGTGAGGGCCCAGCCGGTTCTCCTGTTGTTAATGGGGCCATATCTCAAACTGCCTTTTCCACACTTTCCTCCCATCAAGTAACAAGGTGAAAGGCATACTGAAGGGGGCAGTTATAATATCATCGTAAGGAAGAGCAGGAAGGATCAAATTAATGACAGTGTGGGACTTGGTTTTCTTTCTGTAATGATGGCCCATTGTACTGACTTCCTTGCATCTGGATAACAGGATTGGTGAGATGACCAGAACCCTGCGTTGCAAGTTAGAAGACCTGCGACCCACTCCTGGTTCTGCCACTGACCAGCTTTATAATTTGGAGCAGGTCACGTCCTCTCAATGAGATTCCATCTCTCACCTGCCACATTTACCCCTTAGAGTTGCAATGACATTCAAAGGAGACACCATCTATTAATGCCTTTGGAAACTCTAAGGTAAGTGCAACACACGCATAAGGAATTAGTATTGCTTTCAAGACAGGCATATCTTTTTTTCAAATGGAACAATACAATGAGGGTAGGTCTTGCCCCTCTCTGTGAATAAACACTCTGGCAAAGGCAGCATCATATAATGGTTTAAACCTGTTCCTGCATTAGGTCCATCCAAGTCCTCTGGCTCTCATGCTTCCCCCACCTCCCGCCACCTGGAGAGGGGCCAGAGAGCTGTCCCCTGCCGACAAAGTGTGCCCCACTCTACCCCTAACCTGGTGCTGATGGTCATCACTTGGACACAGGGCCACAAGAGGGAGAAGCTCAAAGGCATATTGCTCCATAGAGTTCTCTTTTCTAAAGAGGCCGTTTGTGGGATTTGGGTTGTGGTTTATTGCAGGATTGGGGAAGAAAAGTATTGGCTCATCTCTCATGGCTGAATAAGAGGGCCAGATTTAATAGGAAAGAGGAGAAGAAATCCTTAAGTTTTCCTTTACTTAGCTACCACCATTTTATTAGCCTAGGAACAGAGCTGCTATTTAAGTTGATAAAAGCCAGATTTGCTCATTAAATAAATCACCAGAGCCTGGTGGTGCTATAGAGAAATGTTCTTTCCTCCAAGAGCTGCCCCCATGGCTGGATCTTGTACAATGCACTGGATGGAAACCACAGGCAGTCAGCAGCTTAAAAACCTACGTTGTGGCGCCACCTGCAGGAGAGCAGAAATATCAACATTATCCCAAAGCTCAGCAGAAAACGGGAGGGCAGGGGAGGCTTCCGCAGCACAGAGGTGCGGCCAGGGCTGCAGACCCCAGCGCCCCTCTGGCCTTGCCTTCTGGATGTGTCACCAGAGTATGTCCACCACACACTCCAGAAGCCTTTAATATGCATCCTTCCTGATATCTGCCATTTCAAGGGATCAACAGCAGCTCTCAAGGTTCTCGGGGCATTCAAACAAACTTACTCTTTCCTCTTTCTAAGGGGTTAAGAAGGCCTGTAACCTACAGGCTCTGTTTTTGAGACTCTGGGCCATAGAACAGAAAAATAGAGACGTGACTGTCCTTAGAGGAGGGTGGGGGAGGAACGCCCCCATGTCACCATGCTGCCTAATTGTAGCTTGAACTGTGCGGCTGGGTATTCCTAGTAGACTCAGACTGGCCCACACTTCCCTATAGATATTAACATCTGAATCTCAACTCCCAGCCTCTTCTGCTCAGACAGGACTCTGGCCTCCACTGACAACCCCCTCCCTGTCTCCTCCCATTAGTCAGAGCCCCCCACTGGTGGCTGTGCTTAGGAACAGGTCTGATCATGGCATTCTCTGTGAGTGTCCTCATAGACTGCTACTGCCCATAAGCCACTTGGTGGAAGGACAGCTGTGTATCACCAGCACTGTGGTACCTGCCCTAAGGACACCTCTCCTGCTGACAATGTGTCACCCACTCTAACCCTAGCCTGCTGGACGTGGCAAGCTCTGCTGCTGTGTTGTGGCTTCCCAGGCTACTCTGGGGGTTGATGTCAAGGTGGGAGGACTCCCCCCTCCATACACACGCACTGCAGATCTTGTTCCTCTGGGCCCTATAACATCTCCCATGCCACCCATGGCCCACGTCTTCCTCCCCTTCCTCCCTGGACCCGCTCATCCACTACCCCCTCTCCAGAATTCTTCCTCCTCTTCCAGCTAACAAAATAAAAACTTGTCTTTTCAACTGCAAAACCAGGAATAAGAGGATGCAGTGGGGTGAGGGGAGATAGGGGAGGGAGGGGGTGTGACCTAACTCCATTGTCCAAAAACAGTGACATCCCAAATCTGGCCAGATCCCTGTATTGCTACAAGAAAGTAAAAACACTTCCATGTGATCCTTCTTGAGGTTCAGTCCTGGGAGGCACACAGCCCCATAGCATGCCTGCATTCCCAGGACGGGATGCAGCTCATAGCTCCCAAGGAGGCCTTCCTCTTGGCACTGCCTAGTTCACTAGCCAAGTGGCTTAAGTGAGTCTCTTGGTCCCTGTGTCTGCGGTACAAATAGCAAAAAGGCCTCAAGTTGTTTTCCTTGTAGTGAAAATGGATTTGTGCTGATAGCTTGAAGGCTCTTGCCTGGTAACACATTACGAGCTGGTTGCCAGGTATCCTGAGCATCACCTGCCCTAATCAACTGTGGTACCAGCCCCGAATGGTCCCCAGTGAGCCTCACTCACAGGTATTAGTGCCTTATGCAGTCCCCTCCCACCCTGATTCAGAGCTGTCCTCAGTGGCCAAGAAATTACTGCAGAAGTAACAGTGAGTCCCGGGCAAGGTCAAAAAAGACATTCCAGCCTCCAACTCGGTCTCCTGGATTACTTAGAGCTGCCACATGGTAAGGAACTGAGGCCACCCACCAACAAACCGGCCCCAACTCAGCAGCCGCATGAGTAAGCCTCCTTGGAAGCAGATCCCGAAGCTGCAGCCAGGTGTTCAGGTGATTCCGGCCTTCAGAATGTTCCAGCTGCAGCCCGGACGTCATGGAGCAGAGAGAAGATACTATTTGTGCCAGGTATTTGGAGATGACTCGTTCTGTAGCAATGGGTGACGAATATATTAAATAGTAATTCGCACAGAGTAAATCATTCCCCTGACCTTGGCCTCATTAATCTCTTGCTCTTATTGTTCGAGCCCACTTGCCTTTAGAATACGAAGGAAAAGGGGAACATGCTTGATGCATGAAATTCTCATGCTGGGCAGGACGGGGCACCAGTACATGTCCTGCCAGGAACTCCCTACGGAGCTCCTGAGTTCAGCCTCTTAGCACTTGTCAGTGTGTTACACGGAAATGAGAAAACCCAGCCAGGGGGCTGGGAAGCATCAGCATGCAGAATGCTCAAGTCCAGCACTCCCTGCAAGTGGGCCGACGTCAGTTCCAGAGTGGCAGTGATCAGAGACATCCAACAGGGCGGCGGAAAGTGGTGCTGGGTCCTGTCCATTTTCAGGAGCTGTCTGGTACCTGCCTGTGACAAAGAGCCTTTTGGAGGTCCAAGTGAGTGGGACTTGAGTGTGAGCACTTACACCTGCAGAGCACCAGGACCCACAGTGCTAAAAACCGTTCCCTACTCCTGATTCCAACACGCACTGCACGGCAGGGCAGGACAGCGGCCCAAGGACACATCTTGTTGCTAGAAGGTGCAGTAAAAAGAGGCCAGGAACAGGAAGGGACTGGAAGCTCTTCCTCTACACGTTCCCCATGAGGATTTGCTGCATCACCCTCTCTCCTCAGCCCTCGGCAGCTCCGGGAGAGCACAGTGGAGCCCACAGGTTGTCAACAGGGCCACACGAGGGTTAGGACGCGGGGGACATGCAGAAGAAGACACAGCGACAGATGCAGGCGCCTGGACTGCAGCAGGTAGAACAGACCATTGCCTCAGGGATTCCAGGGACAGGACCGTGCCTGGGCTCAAGCCAACCTCTTTGCACTTTAACTCTCTCTCTAGGACCCTGCGGCCTGGACTCATTCACCTTCCTTTGCTTTTAAGGGTTTCCTCTAAAGCATCCCTGCTGATGCCGGCTCTGCAGATTCAGGACAGCCCTTGTGGAGTCCAGAGGGGCAGGCACCCCTCGGAGTCCCAGGCTACACCAGCATGCGGTAGCACATGCGGATTGGGCAGAGCCAATTGTGCCATCTTCCCCCGGCTCTGCATTCGGCGACACCATGCTGGTAGCTGGAAACCAGCCACTGCGGAAGTGTTTGCGCCATGGGAATCAGTACACACCACACATCAGGACTTTTATTTTTTGATGGAGAATTGGTTGCTAAACACCTACCAGCACTGCCCCGGGGCCAAGGCTGATGGTGGGTCCAGGCAAGGTGGGTCAGCACTGCCTGCCTGCCCAGCTACTCGGCCGATCGTTCCTGGGGACCCGTCAGGCACACCAATAGCATCAGCCCCGCTCAGTGTGGTTATAGCCACAGTAAGAGTTCCCTTCTGCCCACCCCTAGGTTATAAAAACACTTAATATCTACTATTTCTATTTGCTGTTTTTCCCAAATCCTGTATGTAAGAACCTTGACTCATATTTTCTGAGATCAAAATCAAAAGGGAAAGTGTTTTCTTTTGCTACTAGGCAAACTGAGGCAAGGGATGTTGATGTGACTCATCTCAGGTTACCCAGGAAGCTCGAAATGTAAGTCTGCTCACACCTGCGGTCAACTCCCTCCACCTCATACTTAGGACTAATACCCTGGGTTTGGCAACCATTCTGTTTCCATTCCCTCAAAGCACTACTGTTAAAATGCAGTGCACCCCTATAATAGAACACAGTGCGGATGTTAAACAAAATGAAGTAAATCCACGTATGCTGCTCTGAAAAGCAACAACAAAGTGCAGAACAGTGTATTCACGTATACATATTTGCATATCTTTTAATATACACAATAGCATGTTGTGTATTGTATATATACAAGCCATCTATATAGGCTTGTATATACATAGAACATTTTGGAAGGTTGCACGAAAAAATTTTACAGCAGAAACCTCAGAGTAAGAGACAAGGTGACGTGCCTCTCTTGTTTGAGTGTATATCCTTTGTTCTTCTTGACATTTTACCATGTGCAAGTACTACATTCCCCATTTTTAAAAAGCTAGTTAAAAATGAACAACAAAAAAAATACTGCTGCTAAAAGCATCTTTATCACACCGTCAGTCCCCTGCTCTCTCTCCTCTCAAATCCAGCCAACGACTCCTCCACCCCATCTGTATCGTATTTGAGCGTGCCTTTGTTCTAGTTTCCTACTCTGCGCACCACGTTGCTCCTCCTTTGCAGGCTGCCGTGAAGGTCACACAGCAGCCCGTCTGCCCAGGCGTGGTGGGGTGAGTGTCCCAGAGAATGAGTCCTCATCTCCCATTTCCTAAAGACCGGCCAGCATCCTACTTGGCCTGAGGACTTGCTTGGCACCAAATTGATTAGAGGGAGATTCCAGGAATGATCCAGAACATCCTTTTCATGCTAAAGCAAGCAATTTTAGATCAAGTCAAAGGAAATATTCTTCTACACTGGGGTCAGGAAACTCATGGAAACTGATACCCAGAGATGGTCCAGAGCAAAAGCATGATGATGCCAGGAAACATTTAGACACTAATGGGTGAAAGCACCATATTGTTGTTAATTGTATCAGGAACTGTGTAGGGAGCGATAAAGAAAGACTAGAGACAGACAAATGTCATTCCACTTTTGCAAAAAAGGAAAATAATGTAAGTTCTGAAAAATACAAACAAATGAGCATGACCCTGACATTGAGCACTGGGTCAGTAAAGAGTAAATATATGATTATTTAGAAAGCAATGTGGTCTATCCTTACGAATAAGCCTCGAACCACTGTCTAATCAGTTTAGGGTTGCTATAATGAAATAGCACACTGGGTGGCTTAAAAACAAATGTTTATTTCTATGGTTCTGGAGGTTTCTTACGGATCAGGGAGCCAGCGTAGTTGGGTTCCTGGTGAAGGTCCTCTACTTGTATATGCCCTCACATGGCTTTTCCTGGTTCCTACAAGCAGAGAGAGATCTCAAGTCCCTCTTCTTTTTTTTTATAAGGACATTAATCCAACATGGGTGGCAGCTCCACCTTCGTGACCTCATCTAAACCTAACTACTTCCCAAAGGCCCCTCCTTGGGGGTTAGAGTCTCAACAAATGAATTTGGGCAGGGGTGGTGGTGATGCAAACATTCAGTCCACAG